TAAAATAAAATAATTAATCTACTTTGTAATATAGTAAAAAGTAATAATGACATGTATATAGCTTTCTAAACACACTGATGTAATTATTACAAGTAGATGAAATGCTTTTTACAATAATTGTAAACTATTTGTATAGATAGTCTAAGTATGATATACATATTATATACTTATAGTATACTTTTAATTATATAACAAGTGCTCTTACACTATTATATACATTAATATACCTTTTACATAAATTATAAGGCAACAATAGTTATTGTTACATTATTATATTGTAAATATTACCCTTTCTTTAAAATTATAATAAAAATGTAATGCAAGCATAATACTTTAGGCTATTATACAAAGTTAGTATAATACTTTTAATAGATTGTATTCATCCATAACACTTACTTAGCCTTTATATACATTAACATGTCTTATACAAACTTTACAATTGATTTGCAAGTCTTGTAATTACTTTACAATATATATACAATACTTATGTTACTTTACAAAGTCTACAATATATTATAAGAAATGCAACTTTTTCCTGATGTCAGACTCAAAGACTGAGTCAGTCTTCTCAAGACACAAAGATTGTTATTCAGGTCTCTGATAGTTATACAGTATGTGACCTGACTATATACAAGTCCTAGAGGTTTTGTGTTCTTCTACATCAAACAGAGGATATTATGAAAATGCCTAGGAGTCATATTTCTCTTGTGTACAAAGCCCCATAGTGTAAACAAACTGGTCTGAAAATGGTTCCACATTATCTGGAAAATGACAACAATTATGTGAAACTGTTCTCTTAATACAAAGAATACATGGATACACAGTAGAAGAAGAAGAAGGGGGGTGCTGTATCATGTCCAATCATCCTTACTAACATCAATGATAAATTTCAAGTAGTCTTTTCTTTATTTCTTTAAAAACTATTTACTAATAATGAACAAGTAGGCTTTAAAGGCTACAAGTTGTAAGACTAATGAAACTAAAGTATCTGACTCTTAGTCAAACTCAAACAATGCAAAGACATCTATGCTGTCTATTATTGCTGAAAAGCTTCAGGAGATAGAGGCAAACTTCTATTATCAAAAGCACAGTTGGACATGCTACAAGACATACTATGGTGAACACAAATTGTATACAAACAATCACTTGACAACTCACACACAACTTCTTGTGAGTCACTAAATACTGAACTGTTTTTAAAGCTAATAATTGTGAAGAGTAACAGTGTTAAAGGTGTTACAGCCAAAGATGTGCCTAAGCAACTCAAGATTATGGACTATATCAAACCATCCAAGGCTTGAGAAAAGGCTGTAGGTGATAACATGAGTGATCTTGCAGATGTTGAGAGTAGCATTGGTGTAACAATTCAGGATAGTCTCTCTCAACCTGTTATGCTGCCATCTGAAGGAATACTCCATCAGAAGGTTTGGGACTGGCTCTACACATGCACAACTCGTCAGGATTGTGGTCAGGATGGTCATGACTATATGGTACTGGCTGATGTATTTGAGCAGAACAAGATTATGTGTCTGGACAATATTACCTTTCTTACTACAAAGGATATCATTGACCTAGCTCATGATTGTAGGGTTACTGTCTTGCAAGGTCTTGCTAATCAAATCATTAGATATTCAAATGAAAATATTAAAGATCATAAGAGGAAAGGAAAGGAGTAAAGAGACTGTACAATCCTTGTACATCACGAAAAAGTCTTAACAGTTGTATTAGATTATAACCTAGTACATTTTTTACTTTTTGTAAATTTTGTAAAAGTGATAATAACTTAGATAGTGGTTTTCACAAGTTAATTATAATTTAGTACAAGTAAAGTGAGAATCCAGAATAGTTATTAAAATTACTGATATTAATTATGATTGTACAAATTGTCAAGATATATAAGTGATTATAACATACCTCTCAAAATAATAATGTTAAAATATACTTATTATCTTTTGACAGTATAGTATTATCTTACAATATATACAAGTCATTACAAGCATCTGGATAGATTGCTTCTGCTTTGCATACAATTTTGTATCAAATAATTAATAAATGTAATTATATTTAATTATTTAATACAAAAAGATAGTGAATATTATATTATTTCTACGGTCCCAATCCCTGCACCACTAGCAGCCTCTGCCTCGTTCCTCTGCAAGCAGAATTCACGTCGGTAGAGGATTAATGTGTTCTTGGGCTGTATAAAGTAGTCTTCGTCACTACGCCTTGGTCGTCGCTCAGTCCCTGCAAGTTGAACTGCAAGGTCGAGCAGGTTTTGGAGGTCGAGGCTGCGCCCGTGAAACAGGCTTAGAGTGATTTAG